AAATTGACATTGCTCCGCCTACGCCCCAACCCCTTTTAGGTTTCATTTGAATATGCCTTGTTGGGATGTGCCTTCCTGGAATGTGCTGGGTGTGCCAGGCAATTGGATCCAGTTTTTTGCTCAGGGTTCAGCCTTGATGAGAAAACTGTTAGGTCTCCTAATTTCACAGCTACAGCTTTGCCTGTGGGGCCCAGTCAATTCCACGAACTGTTAATTTATCATTTTGGTTAAACTTATGACAGACAAGTTACATTTGCAGTTTACAAACTTACAAGCTTTATATCAACTAATATTACCTGTTTAGGCAAAATACCAAATGCCTCCAAAAAGCACGTATTTATTGCTTATTAATCCCTCTGGTTCTGGCCGTCGCACAGGAGCTCCCAGAGTGCAGGGGTGCATTGGTGTGCGCACACAGTGCTGAGCAGACTGCACAGCCCCTTCCCCAGCCAGCTGGACGGGGCAGTGCCAAAATGCCAGCCAGCAGCATCGCCCTTCGCAGCCGGCTGGAGCCCTGTTGAGCTGGCTGTGTGTGGACGCAGGCAAGCTGGCCCGGTCCTGCCCTGGTGGGTCTCGCCCTAGCGGGTGGAGACCTGTCTCTCTCAGAGGTAGCCCTCCCCCGGGACGTCTCCTCCAGGGTCCTTCGCTCTGTGTTCATGCCTCGCACGGGGAGCCTGCGGCCTGCTGCCCTCTGCGTCACTGGCTGCGAGGCAGATGCAATTGAGCAAAGCAATCAGCACGGGAGGAAATGGGGCTATTTATTAGCCATGGCAATAATTGGCTCACTTACATTAGAGCCGCTAGGATATTGGTCCCAGGTGGGTGCAGGAGGAGGCATCTGCCTGCAACAGAGGAGTGCGGGGGGGGGTTTCTGACTTATCTGCCCACCTCTACCACTGGGGCAGGACTGAAGGGGACTCAGAGCAATGCTGCCGACCAAGTTTGAGGGGCACGAGGGGGCCTTGATGTGCCCTGGCGGCTTTGTCCACCCTCCCATGGCCTGTCTGGCCAGGGCTGAGGCGGGTGGACTGTGCTATGTGGGGCACCTGGATCCACCTTCAGCCATCCCCATGATCCTTGTGAAGCTGCGTCACCTCACGTTCAGTGCCAGGAAGGGGTGGGGATTTGTGGGGTGCAGGGACCCCTCCAAGGTCTGGCTGCCTGTTGAGCAGTGTGGCAGGGGGGCGGGGGGGGGATCCTAATACCCAACCGAAACTCCCCTTGCTGCAACTTGTGCCCATTGCTCCTTGTCCTGTCATCTGCCCCCACTGAGACCAGTCCAGCTCCATCCTTTGCAGCCCCCCTGCACAGAGGTGAAGGCTGCTGTTCAATCCCCCTCGGTCTTCTCTTCTGCAGACTCAGTAAGCCCCGTTTCCCCAGCCTGTCATCACAAGCCATGTCCCCCAGCCGCACAACCATTTTCATTGCCCTCCACTGGACTCTCTCCAATGTGTCCACATCCTTTCTGTAGTGGGGAGCCCACAGCTGGACACAGGACTCCAGATGCGGCCTCCCCAGTGCTGAATAGAGCAGAGGAATCACTGCTTCGATCTGTGCCTCGTTGTCCCGACCAGCTCTGAGCCCCCTCCTCTGTCTACCCAGAGGAGCTCAGTGCAGATGGAGGGTCCCCCAGCACCTGGGGGGTGTTTGCCCTCCACCCCCTGCTGCGAGGGTTTCGCCCACATGGGGGGCCAGGCCATGAGAACCCCTCTCCCCCAAGCCGGGGCTTGCTGGATGCGGCCCAAGTGGTCAAGGGCAAATGCCGGAGTCCAGCTCCCGCCCCCGCCGGGCACACAGTGCATGCCCGCTCCTACAATGAGCTCATTCACTGGGAGGGGAGAGGCTGGGGAAGGGTGAGGGGGCTGAGCGGTGCCCAACCACAGTCTCAGCTAGCGCCGCGGCGGCACGGGCGTCCAGCGGAGGTTGCGGGGCTCCCCCCGGTCAAGGCTGGGCCTGGGATGGACGGACCACGGCCACGCTGAAGCGGGGTGGCTGGCAGCATGGGGCAGGCCCCCTCTGCTTGCCCCCACCCAGGTATGGCTCTGGTAGCACACAGCGGGCTTTTCTTTACCCTCTGGTGTGGTTGGGGTGGGGGGGGTTGGACCTACTCCTCTTAACCCAATGGATATAGGGTTCCCGTTGTCTCTGCCCCAACTACGGGGGCTTCCTGCCCTGAGCAGAAGGAGGGGAGTGGGTCTGTTCTCCTTGGCTGGTTCTGCTCTCAGGGCTATGGTGGAGGCAGCTGGCCCCAGGACCTTGAGGGATCCGGAAACGGGCTCCCACGCGGTCGCTCAAGGCCCCCTCCTCTCCCCGGGGCCGCAGAGCCCCCACGGCTCATCCAGCACGTCCTTCCTCCCACCCCTTCGTATCGCGCTCCACCCCAGAGGTGGCTGCATGCCTGTGGCTGGCTGGGCGGGACCCAGCAGCTGGATAGGGAAGGGGAAGCTGCAGCTGCCTGCGACTGTCTGTCCTGCCCTCCGGCGTGGGTAGTAGCCCAAGAACGCGCCGCTCTTCCCTCCTTCCTGTTTGCCTTGGCACCTGGGTGGGCGCGACGTGCGCGTCGGAGCCCGGGCGTTCCCTGGCAAGCGGTGCAGGCCCTCACTTGTGCCCTGCGGGCTGAGCTGGACGGGGGCCAAGATGGTGACAGTAGTTGCCCTTGGGACTTAACCCCCCACTCTGCGTGCGAGGGGTCGTGGGCACTGAGTGGCACAAGCTGTCCCTTCCCCAGAAACCCCTGGCTGCCCCCCACAGCTTGGAGGAGGTGAGACCTCACACTTGTCCCCCTTTTTTCTTGCAGCATGAGACTGCGGATGTGGGCTCCGCTGTGACCCCTTGCTCCATGGATGGGGCTGTTGGCTCTGCCCTCGATGGCTGTGCCGGGAGCCGCTGCACCGGGCCCAGGTGGCTGTGGGCTGCCACGCTCTGACCGGCAGTGAAGGCTGGAAGTGGATGGGCAGTGACTAGAGGCCAGTTTTGGACGCGACGCCCCTCCTTTCACCCTCTCCTGACACCACACACCTTCAAGGTCTCTGGGGGAGACTGAAAACAGACTCCCTCTCCCCAAATCCATCCCCCCCCCCCCCAAAAAAAAAACCCTTTTTGTGGGAAAAAACCCGGGAAAGGGGGGGGGGGGGCCGCCCCCCCCCCCCGGGGGGG